GCCAAAGACAAATTCTTAAAGGACCCAAATTCACACTAAGATTGAACCACAAACCCACCTGGCCTGCACAATGCTTTCAGTTGTTTTTCTGGTTTGCATCTTTCCCTTTCATACTAATGGAATAAAAAAAGAGTGTTCCAAGAAGACCATGAGAACGCTGAGACGTCGAGCTTGAGCGATTGGGCAGATGATTACTCTTCACCGGATATGCAGTATGGAATGGGAAACAGGGCTTTGGGTCGTAGGCTGGGAAGTGATACGTTCTGTCCATACACGTCACACTTGGAGAAGCTGCCGAACTATCCAGGACATGGGAGCCTGGGGCTGAGGGTCAGAGGTCACACTTGGGTGGCATAAAGAATGACTCCGAATGAAATTGCTGTGGAAGCTCTCAAGGAGGAAATGATTATGGGAGGGCAGAGTGTGTAGCACAGCAAGAGAGGAAGGCCAGGGACTGTGTGCAGAGGCGAGCTTAACCCTAACATTGCCACGGACCTCCCTCTGTCCTGCAGGCCTCACTTCAAGACCCTTCCCACTACTGTGCTCCCACCATTCCTGACACTCTCCACCCCCCAGAGCCTGATGGACGTCCCCACACTCCCCCTTGTAGCACATGGATTGGCCCTGTACCTGGAGCTTATTCCAAGCCAGAGTGGTATTTAGGTACTGTGGAGATCTGAGACCTGCGGGGGAGATTTTCCTGATTCTGGCCCGGGGTGGAGACAGATGGTCTGGGACAAAGTTGCAGCCTTCTGGGGCCTCCCTGGGCTATGCAGGAATTCACCCCTTAACTTGGGCCTCTCATGAGCACAGTGACCTCTGAATGGTGAAATAACAAGGCTTTTCGCGCAATTTACCATTGCCCCGTTGTATTTACAAATGCCGCCATATTTTAGTGTAACAACCACTGTATCAGCCATGATGTGCTAGGTTTGCTGCAGTAACAAACTCGAATCTCAGTGGTTTAACACAGCAAAAAGTGCTATACTTCCCACAACGAGAAGGGGTGCCTTGCTCATCAACCTTCTGAGAAGCAATCTCAGCGCCAGTGGCAAGGGAACCTGATGGTTTTCACACTGAGTCCTAAAGCATCTGCCAGCTTTTTTTTTTTTAAATCTTTAAAAAGAGAAGTCGTATTTCATTGGCCAAAGCAAGTCACATGGCCACATCTAACTTCAAGGGGACAGGAAAGTGAAATCCTCTTTTGCCCGAGGTGGACATGGTGAACCTCAGTGATGACACCCTCGAGAATCATTATCTCCACTTGGGAGTTGAAAAAACTCAAACTATTAAGTCACTTTTCCGAAGTCACACAGTTAGTAAGTTTGCAGAGCAAGAATCCAGGGACACATTTGGTTAAGTGTAAAACCCGTGTGTGTTCCACAGCTTGGACGTCTCCTCTTCACGAAACCGTTATACAGAAGATGGTTCTTATTAGCTTCAAGAGAACTTCGGATGCTGACCAGTAAAAAATTTGCCCCTTCCAATTAAATTTAATCTTGTGACAATGTGTTTCTTTTATTTCTCCTTTCGAAACAACATGTTTCTTTAAAAAAAGAAAAAAGAGAGAGAAAAGAAAAAAAACCCAGGCCTCTGGCCCACTCTTGACCCCACCGCGGTATCTGATTGCTTGTCGGGGTGATTTGGTTTCTTTCGCACTGTGTGGTATTTTCCACTCATGGGACCCAGTCAGAAGACGTTTGTATCTTAATCTACACGCTTGTTCTTGCTTGTATTTGTTCTCTGCTGATCCCATACCCTTCATTCATCCTTGGAATGTTCCTGTGACAACAGGAGACTGGCAAGGTGGCTAGCCAGACAAAAGGGACTGACCGAGTGCACAGCCACTCTTGGACTTAGAATGCTAAGAGGGAACGTAGAGGACACGACAGTTTTCTCTCCCTGTTTGCCCCACTGCAGAGGAGTCAGCAGTGAGTGCTAGGGCTGCTCTGCAGAGGGGGAAACTGAGGCTCAGAAAGGTGAAGTGATTGCTCAAGGTCACATGGCCGGAACCCAGATTAAAACCAGCTGCTGTTATTTTTTCACGGACGGTAGCTTAGTTTTCCATCCATTCCGCTCTGCAGCCTTCCATCTATCCTCCTCCTGCTAGGAGACCTGCCCGGAAGCACAGCAGGTGATGCAGGGGTGGCTCTGTGCTGTCTGATGACTTCCACCTTCCTGTGGCACCCCCTGACAGAGGCAAGAGCAGGCGTGTCTGCACAATGGAGACCTAAGAGGTGAGGCTGCCGCCGCACAGCTCAGGCCCGCGAGGTGGGAGCCCTCCTGACGCTATAGCAGGCGTGCTTCTCGGGCCTCAGACTCCTCCTGAACAGACCCGAGATCCACGGGAGAAGCGTTCTGGAAAGAGGCGTGAGCAGTAGTAGGGATTTGGGTCCACATTGCTGGGCTGAGCCTTGGGACAAGCCCACGAGGGAGACCCAGCAATGTTTTTATTATAACTTCAAAGAGGAAAAAGAATAACTTGATTAGATTAAATATCCTCCGAGTGGGGCCTGAAATCCTCAGCTTTAATGTGTATTTGAAATTCAAGACATTTTTGGAGGTTTTGATGGCACTTTCTGACAGCATGAGACCCTCAGTTTTCTCCACCCGTGGACTGCGAGGGGCGGGACAATGGGGGCGGGGGCAGCTGGAACAGCTCAGAGCCCACCAGGTTGGTTCTTGTTTCTGGTCAATCCCATATTCGCAGTGTCGATGTCTGTCATTCATTTTTTTTCTGGGCCTCTGTTTATCTGAATAAGAGGAAATGCTCTCTTCCATCTCTAGAATTCCATAATTTTAAATAGGGAAAGATGACTTTAGGAAGAAGCTGGCCATGGACACAGATCCTGTAGCTTTTGGACTGACATCTGATTTGAGAGGAATATCGGAGCCATTCCAAGGTCACCCACACAGGCATTCTCTCATCCTATCCACATCAGCAAACATCCACGTCAACAAACACAGCACCTTCATCAAGGAGTCTCAATGACTCAACACATGGCCATGGGGAGTTTTCTCTTGAAGCCATGACGTGGCACCATAGTTGCATGGTCATCCTCTACAGGGAAGGAAAGAAGCTATTTCAAATGCAGCTTGAATTTGTTTTAAAAAAGAAGTCACACACTTCTCTGTGTATGTCATCTTTTCCCAGATGGATCCAACACGAGCCACATGATTTTCCTGTTGTAGAGTTTCTGAGAAATTCATAGACCTGAGAACAGAAAGGGGCTTCAAGAGATAGTGTGAGCCTTTCCCCCTTTATTTCAACAGGTATAATTATGTTCTTCTCATTTTATAGATGAGCCGACTGCACTTTGGAGGCTGGTGACTTCTACAATGGCATGGCCAGAGGGTGACGCTGGTATAGTGGTTGGGGGACTGACTGCCTTCTTTTACTACGCCAAAGTGTTTCTCACGAGCAAAAGTTTCCACCATCATGGAGATAGTGGTTAAACAGGAAACTTTAAAGGAAAACAAGGAATATAGGACCCATGAAAATCCTGGCAGCAAACAGTAGGTGCTCTGTGTACTGAAGAGTGGCAAGAAGAAGGTGAATGAAGCAAGATACAGCCATGAGCTTGGAGACCATGTGACTTCGTGTTTGTAGTACCTGGTTTTATACACAAGCCATATCTGGCTAATGTTCACTGGATACTCCCTATCTCTGAGGCTTTATAAAACTTAATTATTCAACAAGAAAGCCAGTTTGCTAAAGAGGGAAGATTGCCAATGAGGCCAAGGTGACAGCAATTTCAGGCACGATGTAAGCTGATTAGCCTCAAACAGAGAAACTGCTTCTAGGCTGAGACCTCCGACCCCACCAGCTGTCTTGGAGATTTGCAGCACTGGGCACAAAAGGTACCAGGCAGCAGCGTGCACGATGGGTGAAGGACAAGACCTTATTAGGAGAGTCTCCCAGGAAGCAGAGGAAGGCAAACACAGGGCATTCCTTTAGAATGATGGATTTGTTTTATTCTGCATTTATTTTTTTCATTACACAAGAATTGTGGAATGATGCTTTTGCATTACCTTTTTTCTTTTTAATAACAAAGGGGATTTTTTTTTTCTTTCTCCCTTTGGAAAAACACAGATCTGGTCATGTCAGCCCCAGCTTAAACCCTCTCAGAGCCTTCCTCTTGCTCATTTGAAAATGACACAACTCAAAAAATGGCCATCAGCATCACTGACGTTTAATGGATTTGCACAGGACAGCTTTCTCAATTGTTCAAAAAAAAATGACGCACTTCTGTATCGGTCGATCAACAGCCATTATCCCAAGATGCCCCCTACCTCTTCCACTCTGGGAACTCTGGGCCTCCCCAACATCCACCATCCAGCACAGAAGGGATCCAGGATCTTATGCCAGCCTGTGGCCTGTATCTGTTCTGATGGGACAGGCCTGTGCCTTTGTGGATGTCCAATGACAATTAACCATGTCTAGGAGGCTCTCCACAATCAGACCCCAGACCCCCCCCCCCACTCCCACAGCCTTCTCTCTCTCTATCCCCCTTCCTACTCGCACTGATTCTGAGCCCTGGCCACACAGCCCTTGTCTGCTCCTTGGAGAGTGCCCTGCCTCCCTCTGGGCCTTGGAAAGTGCACGTCCTTCTGTCTAGAGCAGTCTCTCCCAGGCCTTTCTCCTTAGACTTTGGGTGACTTTTCTCATCCACCCTTCAGTCATTCATAGGTGGCTTCAATAAGTACAGGCTGGGTGGGCGACTGAGTGATCACTGACATTAAGAGGAGCAGGCACTTGCCAACAGACTTACTCCATCGATAGCCGTCGTCTTCATCTCGTCAGTCGTCACCAGAAGGAGAACGGGCGCCTGCGACTCGGGGGCCACAGCGTCTGCGTTGCTGCTCCTGGACAGAAGTGGCTTCAGATTCAGGCAATGCCTCTCGGCTGTGAGTATTATCACTTGCTAAAAGGAAAGTAGGAAATAATCTGAATATTTGGGATTCCAAAAGTCATATTGTACCAGGTAACAAGAACTTCCCTATCTCCTCTGATGGGCTGTGGGATGAGAAAGAGAATGAGAACGAGAGTGAAGCGGGAAAGGGAAAGAAGTTAGATAACCTGAAGTGTAGCCTGAAGACTCCCTGACGCTTATTGGGAATCCTTGACATGCCGTCAAGAAACCATTCTGCTTGTGTCCTCAGAGCTTGTGGCTGCAGAGTACTCTCTGGCCTGGTCACGGGTTACAGGTCAAGCAGGGGGCGGCCCCTACAGGGGCACAGGAGCTCAGACTGAGGGTCAGCATCCCAGAACCCTGGAGGAGGAGGAGGAAGAGGAAGGACTGGGTTAAAGACCAAGCAGGGGGGCGAATTTACCCTGCGGGTGCTTAGAGACAGCTTAAAACCACAAGTTTACCAGCTCTCAAAGAGTTTTGTTTTGTTTACCATGCTTCCCTTATTTTCTTATTATGGCACAAGCTTGCCTTGCCTTTACAGTCTCCATTAAGTTTACAACCAAGAAAATGAAAGGAACGATTTTACAAGCATTGTGATGGATCCTGGTACCTCCGCTGGAGCCTGAAATTAGGGGTTTGAGTGTAGGTCTATTTTCCTCCCACCTCCAAATGCCGGCTGAGTCGGGAATAACATAGTGGTTTCCTTCCCTGCTGGGACACAACCCCCTGAGATGCCGTTAAGATGAAAACGCCAGTGTTTGTCAAGAGCTTAGAGCAGTGTTTTTCGAAGCGCAATTTTTGGAAATCTAGCCCCAAGAAATGTTCTGCTGGTAAAAGGATTCATGGTCAAATAAATTTGGAAAACACTGCACAATCTCTTCCCTCTCGGGCACTCTCAGTGCTTGCTAGTCCAGTGAGGAAGCTGTGTTACTCATAAGGTCCCCCCCACCCAAATGTCTGGCTGTCCCGCATTGCCTTCCTGCAATCTGTTCACATTTTGCCTTATTCCAGTTCCACATGCTTTGAAGTTCCTGGAAGTTGCTCCCAGCAGTATGCCATTCATTCCTCAGACACTTGGGAGCCTCGCCATGTGCAGACACCGTGCTCCAGGCTGGGGAACCGCAGGAGAAATAGCTGAATGCTCTGAGGATGTGGCTCCAGGCAGAAAGCCAATTAGCGAGGTGGGGCGGGAAAAGTCTTCTATAGGGTGACATATATATATGTAAAATTTATCACTCCAACTGGGACAACAGAGGGAAGGGGGGCACTGTTAATTAATAATTTTACTGGGACAACAGGTGTAAACTAGAACTGTCCTACATACACAGAGCCGACACATGACAGAGGGGTTATGTTTTTTGTCTGTCATTTTAGGAGCCACCTGTAGGGCCAATGGGTAGTAGTTACAGGGCAAAAAGTTTCAGTTTGAAATTAAAAGGGCCTTTCTAACATAGAGCCTCTAACAACAGTATGGGCTATTTCAGGGGATAGTGAGCACCTCTTTGCTGCAGATATGCAAGAGAGGGACCCACTCTCCTAGATGTGTTAGATGACACCATGTCAGGCAGGCACCCAGGGCAGATGCCCGCGGGTTGGCCTCTGACTGATCTCAAGCACCTGGTCCTCTTGGCCTCTCTGTCAGTGAGGGTTAGTGGCCTGTCTCGTACATGAGGGCCAAAGCCTGCCAATCTGACTCATGTGTCCGGACATGTTGGATAAAAGTAGAAATGTAACAGGGCTAAAGGATTAAAACCTGGCTGTTTTAGGGTAATTAATACTCACTGATGCTTATATATAAGCATCTCTTTGATTAAAATGAGTACACATTGACTTTAAATAAAGAGAACACTCTGTGACAAATAAGCAAAAGATGCTCAAAACAAGTTGACCGAGTTTGAAGTGGATCAGAATCACTCTGGTCAGTTGGATCAAGTTTGGCCAATAATAATTGTACTTTGGTTATATAAGATGTTAACATTAGAGGAAGAGGGTGGGGGATATACGGGGATTCTTTGTACTATTTTTGCCACTTGCCTGTAAGTCTGAGAAAAAAAACCCCATATCCTTTTCTCCCGAGCCCCATTCATAGCAGGCCCTCTCCGATGCACCCCCTTCATCCTTTGAGACTCAGCTCAGCAGAACACCCCAGCTTTCCTGTCTTGAGGTAGCCACCACCCCTCCCAGTCCCCAAATACTTCTGCATATTCCCCGATTACACCTACCTCCTACTAGTATGGTTTCCTGACTGCGTCTCATCGTTCTCGCCTTAGTCTGTGTTTCTTTGAGACTGGAACGTTTTCCTCCTCTCATCTTTGCCTTCTAGCACCAAGGCCATCCTCAGCCCTCGACGTATGTCTCAGATGAATTAGTAAATCAATCCAGTTTGAACACGTTTTATTAGCTTTTCTTCCTTTTAAAAAAATTGTGGTCAAATATACATAACATAAAATTTTCCATTTTAGCCATTTTTAAGTGTAGAATTCCATGACATTAAGTATGTTCCAGTGTTGTGCGATTTTTTTTTTTTATCAGTTTTAAGTGGTTTAAACTGGTCAGTATTTACTAGAGCTGTTAGATCTACTTAATCTGGACCCACGGGACTCGTGACACTCGGAATTAGTCCTATCCCATTCCCACCGGGTGCCTCCCATCAAAATCTGTTTGATCAAGTGCGGAATTATTTCGTCCCATTTGAACCAGCTTCAGTCAGTCAAAACTGGCTCTGCCCAGGCTCCAGGCAAGTAGTCAGGCACTCAGAGGTGATTCTCCTTCTTTGGCCTCATCTCTTGGGTTGCCACTTTCCCTCTTGTTAGTTTTTTTTTCTGGGGGCTGTCTTCCCTGTTATTCTCCTTTCTGCTCCCACAAAGCACACCACACCCATCCCCGGTGAGGCCTTGGCTCTGGGGCCGGGAGCTTGCATTATGCCACCTCCTCCATTGTCCCACCTGTGCACCTGCACTTTCAAAAAACCCCTGCAGGCAGGCTTTTGTGGCAGTGATAATCAAACAGGCTGACTCATATTTAGAGAAACTCCCTGTATCTGGACAGCCTCTTCAAATGTTTAAGGACACCCCCACCTCCCTTCTCAGAGAGGAGGGACACTTTTCACACCCACCTGCCCAGCTCTAAACACCTCAGTTTGCATGTAAAGAATTTAGCGCTGCATTAGGAGTTAAGAAACTGGGCTCTAGTGATTTTCCTGCCATGCACCAGCTGCGGGACTTTGGTCATGCCTTCTTTGGGACAGTATTTCCCAATTAGTAAAAAGAAGGGGTCGGTAATACAGATAAAATCTGATTATTATTATTATTAATAATAATGAGTATTTTTTTGCAGCAGGCTTTTTTTTTTCTCCCGAGAAAATATCACCCTGAATAAGACAAAGAAATACGCTGAATTGCTCTGGCTGTCAGGGAGCGCGTTTCTCTTCCCCGCGCTGTGTCACCCTCGGTGGAAGTTGGAGGGTCTTGTCCTTTTCCCTCACCCTCGGGAGGCGCCCACTGAGTACTGTCTTGTGTGCGAGCGAGTGTGACCCGGGGTTCTCTATCCTCTGCTCTGCTCTAGTTTGCAGCAAAACTTTCCATGCCGCTCCCTGCTTCAGCCCCAGTCCCACCCGGTCGCAGCAAGAACGGCTGTTCGGAAACACGAGGATGCCTGTATCCCTCCGGTGTCCCTTTCTTCCAACAGCTCGCGAAAAACGTCAGGGTAAGTAGGATGGACGCGGAATTCAAGGCTGGGTCTCACAGCCTCTCCCTTTTTCTCCACCTTACAAGTCCGGCCAGCCGGGCCACTCTGCTTTCCCCTCCCGCCCGGGTGGCCTCCGTCGAGACCGTCCTCCCCTCTCGCGGGTGACGTCCCCAGCACTCAGGGATCAGGTTCGGCCGGGTTGTCGGGGACCCCCCTGGGGTCGCGGGGGCGGACGGGGCCGGCCCTTCCCGAGGCGGCCGCCAGGGGGCGGCGGGCGCGGCTCCGGATGACAGCGGGAGGCCCGGGCGGGGGAGGCGGAGGGACGAGGGCGCGCGGGTCCCGGCGCTGCGGATCGCTAACCCGGAGCCAGAGCTCTCCGCGCGCCGCAGCCGACGCGGAACCGGGCGCAGCGGGAGCCCGTGCAGGGCGGGCGCGGGCGGCGGCGGCCGTCCATGCGGCGGCGCTCGGGGCTGCCTGGCGCCGGGAACCACGCGGGGGCGAGGCCAGGCGAGGCGGCCGCCGGCCGCTGCGGGACGCGGACGCCAGGTGAGCAGAGCCGCGCGCCCCGCGCCGGTGCGCGCCGCCCGACCCAGCCTGCTGCCTCCTCGGCTGCGGCCCCCGGGCCGGCGGGGCGGGCTGGCGCGGGCGGCCGGGCGCAGTGGGTGTGTCCGGGGCGCCGCGGGGCTGCGCCCGCTCCGGGCTCTGGGGACCCGCGCGCGCCTGGTCAGTGCCGACGGCTGCGCCTCCTTCTCTCCTTCCCTTCCCTTCCCTTCCCTTCCCTTCCTTTCCCTTCCCGGGAGTCTCGCTCTGTCCTGGCGCCAGCACTCACCCTCCGCCGCCCGACTGCGAGACTCTGTGGACGGTCAAACTCTGTGGACGGTCGAGCTCGGCCGTCCCGGGTCGAGGCCCGCGCTCCCTGGGTCGGGTCGGAGGGGGCTGGCAAATGCACACCCCACCCCGCGCCCCCCACCCCAGCCTCGGCTCCCCCTCGACTCCTGCGGCCGGAGAGCTGGCCGAGAGCCGGTCAGCGCCCACGGAGCCCCAGCCCGGGCCTCGGATCCGTGTGTCTGTCCCAGCTGAGCCGCCGCGGCGCTGCGCCTCCCGGAGCCCGAGTGGATGGTTGTTTCCGCCAACTCGGGACACTTCCTCAAGTGCAGCTCAAGTACCTGCGGCCCCTTGGCGCACTTACAGAATTGGCTTTTGCTCAGCTCGCTCACCTCAGGGCTTTAGAGATTTGGAGTTTAATTTTTCTTTTTCTTTGAAATATCATTAGTCCGGACTTGGGAAAGGGATTTCAGGGCCTTCTTAGGCCCACTTAGCATCTGGAATTTGTGGGTCCGGTGAGTTTTTTAAGCAGTCCACACCCAGCACCGTGCCCCCCAGCCTCCACTACAGCCTGTTAAAAGTGCACTCTTGCGTCTCTTCCGGCCTTTTTTGCGAACCCCGCCGCGCTGATCTGAAGTCTTGTATGTGGGTAGCTGAATCAATCATTGGATGCCTGTTGGAATTTGGAATAAGAGAAATAGAGACCCGAGAGAAGTCTGAGCAATCATCTCGTCCAACTATCGTTCGTTTCCCAGCCGAAGGCACCCAGGCACCCAGGCACAGTCTAAAGATTTTTCAAAGATCACACGGCTTTTCTACCTGTATGTGTCTTCTACTTCATTGATACAGTTAAAGGTGATGGAGTTACCGGGCTTAATAGGGTTTTACTGGGTTTCAATATACAAAGAAGCAAACATTTTAAAAATGTGATTTAAATACAGTACTACTCAATTCCTATAGCTTTTTGTTGGCACCATAGTCGAATTCCTTTAGAAAACAAAATCCTAGCCCCGAGTTAATATGAGGAAGCAGATGGAGTCCTGGGGCTTTCCTATAACCCTCTGCAGGCTTGGAGCAGGGATTTCCCAGAGGTCCTGACCTGGAAAATGAGTTTGGGTGATCAGAATACGGGAGCCCCTTTGGAACAAGCAGCTGGGGTGGCTTCTTGTTGGAAGGCTGGCCAGTTGAACCCAGGTGATCTCCATGCCCAGCACTGGGCAGGGCACCGGGTTGACATTGTCTTCTTTTCAGTCTCCTGCACCATGACGAAATGTTTCTAACTGGCTGTTAGGGAAAGAAAGATACAGCCCAGAGTTTGGGAGTAAGATCAGCACTGGAGATTGTGACTTGGAGTTTTGCTTGGTTTTGTTTTTGCCTAGAAATGCTTGTGACTGCAATCAGTTACCCCAGAAAGAGGCTGGGTGTTGTGTTGCCCTCTTCTTCCCCGCCGTCCACATTTCCCTCCATGGCACCACTTTTATCCCAGGTGCTGGGGTTCACCGTGTTTTAGTGTCCCCAATACTCCCCTGCCCGTCCCCCACATTTATAGCTCATGCATCACAAAATCCCTTCCACATTCTTTTGTGATATCTCAGGGAATTCCTTCCCCATCTCCATTCCTTCTGCCCCCACCTTAAGCCATGTCCAAATTACGGTAATAATCTCCTCTCTTGACTCCCGGCCATGAGTTGCTTTCTTCATT